CCAGTCTGATAAGCGGCTGCGCTGGTCGCTCTGTTCAAAAGAACAATAGGTTTTCTTATATACAAGGAATAAAATGAGAAATGGAAACGGGCAAAACGAAAAAGACCTCTATCGGATCCGTGCCCGGGAGAGACGCTCGATGGACGCTCTACTCTCAGCAAGAAATGGCGGCCAAGCCGGCTGGGCTCTCGCGTGCACCGATTTTAACGAACAGTTATTACTCCCGCCAACGTAGTTACCGTCACGATTTTTCGAAAAACTTAACACTAACTACTTAATAATTATGGTATGCAATCGATTTCGTACCCATATTGCGTTCCGCCGTGAGTAAACCCAAAATAATTGTTCTGAGCCATCCTTCCTCGCAGAGAATCCCGGAAAGAAGGACAATGGAGGAAGTTGTAGGGCGTGCCACGAACTCGATAGAATGGCGGCGCTGCCGCGGCTCCTATTGGTTATTCTGTTGGAGCCGGGCGCAACAATTGCAAGAATGCCGCGCCCTCAGTGGCCGCTTCCACGAGAACCCTGCGTCGTCCTCCGACAAACTACCTCCGCGCAAATCAACGCGCTACCGTACTAGCCAGAGAAACTACCGCGAGAAAGTATTCACGAAGCGGACAGATGTATACGGTTAATTGAAACTTAACTTACTGCGTATTTCTCGTTATCTCCGTTTTCCGGGGTAGTATGTAGTTTGCGTAATTTTCGCGGCTGGTGCGTGTTGCGGCGAACGTCCGGCGTGCGCAAGAAAGGGCTAGTTTGCCGGCGACGCGTGCGTTCAACGAATTATTTTTGTCGCCCCCTAGTAGTAACTACACCTATCGTTTAGAATTGAAGCGCTCTCTAGTAGGTTTTATTATAATTCTAATGGAATTCTTTTCCATTCGCACAATAAATTTAAACTCAATATTCTCCTTCACTATATCGGCATATATTTGAAGTATTATTTTATTTAATCATACAAAAACAGGATACAACATGCCATCGCAATTAGCAACGAAAAAGCATGCTAAATATTTCCAGAGGTTATTACAAATAATGCCCAATTGTTCAGCAGAATTTGACTGTTCTAGACTTGCAGTAGCATTTTTTGCTATATCAGGATTAGATATATTAAATTGCTTAAATGATCTTAGCGAAGAAACAAAATTAGAAGCAATTAACTGGATCTATAGGCTTCAAGTAACTGGAGCTGGACCACGTTCAGGTTTTCAACCTTCTACAACAATACCAAAGGATGCTCCAAAATATCAATGTGGTCATTTAGCAATGACATATATTGGATTAGTTACTCTTTTAATTCTTGGTGATGATTTAAGTCGTGTTGATAAAAAATCCATTATTGAAGGAATGCGAGCTTGTCAAAATCCAGATGGATCATTTACAGCTATTATAACAGGATGTGAAAGTGATATGAGATTTCTTTATTGTGCTTGTTGTATATCTATAATTTTAAATGATTGGTCAGGCATTGATAAAACAAAAGCAATTGATTATATTTTAAAAAGCATTGTAAGTTTTTATCTTTTTGTTTTTATATTTTTACATATAAAGAGTATTAACAAAAATTGGCTTTGTCTACTTAATTTTATCATAGCACAATATCTCAACAATGATTATAGTCATATGATGGAGCAATGGGCCAAGGACCTGGTCTTGAATCACATGGAGGATCTACATATTGTGCTGTAGCTAGTCTATTCCTCATGAATGAACTTCATAATGTATTGACAAATGATCAATTAAATAGACTAAAAAGATGGTGTCTTATGAGACAAGATAGTGGCTTTCATGGACGACCTGGAAAGCCTTCTGATACTTGCTATAGTTTTTGGGTGGGTGCAACTCTACAAATGCTTGATATTAATAAATTATCAGATCCTGATAAGAATAGAGCATTCCTTCTTGAAACTCAAGACAGTATTGTTGGAGGATTTGGAAAGTTTGCTGATTGTTTGCCAGATCCTCTTCATACATACTTAGGTATGTAAAAAATAGAATATTTAAAATTTTACAATAAAAATAATATGCAATATGAATATTTGGTGATTTTTAGGTTTTAGGTTTTTATGGATTTTTATAATTTTTAGGTTTATGTGGTTTAAGCCTTTTAGGAGAAACTGATTTATGTATAATGAATGCTGCTCTTAATATTTCTGATCGAGCATATAAACATTTATTAAAAATTCAAGAGGTATGGTAATATATTTAACAATCTATAAAATATTTGCAGCAACCAAATCTCATATCAAACGCACAGAGTTAAAGCAGGAAGGAAAAATAACATTTTTACATTTTATCATGAATTCTATTTATAAAGTTCTCACAGATTCTCTGTGCTTAGAACCATTATTCTAAAAATGTCAATTAATAAAAATATTATGATTTTAAAATATATTATTAACTATTCTGTTTTAATGAAGACACTTGGTAGATATATATCTAAAACATGTCATATTAAAAATAAAAAAAGAATTAGTAGCAATTCAAATACATCTTAAATTGTCATTATATATAAATTTTAAAAATTCTAATAAAAACAAAAAAATATATAAATAGTTCTAATCTAATGCCTGTCATCATAATAAAAATTTGCAAAAATTATATATTTTCACATTTTATAGAACTAGAATAATTAACATTTAATGAATGTAGTATTTATTTAAAAAAAACATTTTACTACCGTTAAATTGAGAAGTTTTGTAGTCATATTTCTTCTTTTTCTCGTTCACAACAACCCCATCAACGAATGAACGCGTACTGCGAAGAAAACTCCTTGACACTACGAAGTTGCCCGAGTGTAGCTGCCACATGCGCCCCACCTCGCGGAATGATGATTCCATGGTAACCGGGGTGGGTTCGCAGATCACAACAGACGACGTTCGTTCGTTCATTCGAAGAGACTGTGTAGTTCGAGAAAAGCGTGTTTTATTATTGCCGGTGTTTCTCATTTTTTTTTGTGTATTTATATATTATGTTCAATTATCTTTCATTTGATAAAATATTTTAAAAGCTATCAGTGAAATTTTTATGTATATGCAAACGAAGTGGAACACAAACAAAACAGTAGAATAATATCTATCCTACGGTCATTGGAAAAGAGAAACTTCATTGTCAAGTGTTAGGGTCGCAGTCGCGACCCAGACATCAACCGAGGTTAGTGCGCGCTCAAAATTTAAATTAATTTATTATGAACAAAACTATTTCTTCATCAAGAATGAAATCGCTAAATAATCTAAATTTAAAACAAATAAATTTACCGTCGGATAGATACGCATGATCAAAAAGAACTTGTTCAATGTAAAATTCGTAAAATGTTAAATGCTATTTTTAAATATTTCATTTTAATATTTTTTAATATAAATTATTTATTTTCAAAATTTTATATTTCATTAATTCATTAAAATATACTTTGTGATGATATCATATCCATCTTATCGAAGTAAACTAAGCAAAAAAATATTCATAATACAATAATATATATATATATATATATACATATGAAATTGTTGAAAATATAATTAATATAAAATTCATGGAAATGAAAAAAGTAAAGTAATAGTTTTTATAACATCGCATACATATTCTTGACGTAACATCGAATCTTATAAAAAGGAAAGTATGTAACATAGTGAAAACTTGAATTTCGCAAAAGCGACGAGTTCGTTTAATTGCGTCACTTAGTCATGGCCGAACGGATGCATGTAACTTAATTCCTTATATGTATGGTTGACACAATAAAAATGATAGATATCAAAAATGTAATAAAGTAATATAAAAACTCCTCAATATATATATATATTTAGAATATAACAGCCGAAATTCCAAGATATTGTGAATTAATCGATTATCAGTATAGCATGAAATTTTCCACAATACATGATTTTCATCCACGCGGTCGCGTATATCCAAAAACAAATAGAAAAAGAGAACACAAATATAAAAGCAATATTTTTTTTTATTTAATGTAAATCACATTTTCGTGATTTTATGAAATATGAATCTATATATAAATAGGTAATTTTTTGTATGAGTTACCGTACAATGAATGAAGCTGTTGTACAACGGGCATTTTCATACTGTATATACTGTACTGTTTCTAATTACCAGACTATGATTCACTTTTTTATCGATCATTTTTAACTCCGTGAATTCATCTCATGCGTTCACCAATAATCGCGGCAACTATATTTGTGATACTTAACGAGCTGATTCGCGTTACATCAATCAATCAACTTACTTGAATTATATGCTACATATAAATTGTATAGTTTCATTTCGCTGAAGCAATTCGAACTATATATTTAATATAGTAAAATTTTTAAGACAATTGTAAATGTTAAGAATAAAATAATTGTTTATGATGTCTTACAATATTTATGAGACATTGTTGATATAATTTAAAATTTTATTATTATATCATGCTTACGATCTTCGGCTTTGAATAAGCTATATGTTTAAAACAGATAATAGTGACGAAAATATGTCCCTTCTATTGTTTTGAAGAATCCAATATAAATTTACTTTTTCTGTTTATTTTTTTTTATTTTATTATATAATAAAATATTTAAAGATTAAATATTTTTATATATTTTATTATATTTTTATTACATTCCATACGAGATCTTATATGTACAATCATAGTATGAGAAATCAATATTCAAAAACGATACTATAGACGACCAAACAGGAATATTTTTTAAAAGTTGTATTTAAGAGATGAACGTGTGACCTTTGTGGATAGAGCATAATCCATCTCGTAACTGTCGTGTGAGCACGTGCGCATCTCGTATTCGACATGTGCGTTTATACATACATAAAACTGAACACATCGATCGAAGGGCAGGTGGTGGGTATATTCTCAGACAAGATGCTCAGTTTAACAAGAAGGTTCGTGCCAGTTGCACAGCTGTCGGTGTAACAGCTGCATCTTTTGAAGTAAAAAGAAAAACGTTAAGGAAATCGAAAAGTGAAAAAAAGAAGGGAGCTCTTGATTTGAAGTCGTTTTGACAATTATTTCCAAAATATTAAAAAATATATTAAAAAAAATAAGTTAAAATAAAATTTGATTAATTTAATATATATATTGAATTTGAATATATGATATTTTTTGAAAAAATAAATAT